GGCATGATACCAAAGTACGTAGAGAGACCTGGAGTTTGCTGATTTATGTGGCTGGCCCAATCCAGTCCAAGATCGTCGATTGCAGCATGATGCACATTACCTAGGCTATGCTGGATGAGCTGTAAATAAAAGTCTATCCACCAAGTTCAACCTCCAGCCAGAATTCCCAAGATATCCAAGACGTTTTTACATCTGAGAGTGTAAGTCGCGTAGCGCCGTCGCGCTATCAGCCGACCACCGTGGTCTACGTCTTGTCTGGAATACTGATCACACACTGCCAGCAATGAGGTCTCAGACTAACAATTTCCATAAACTGTGCCTTAGGCAAGCATAAGGTTATTCTTACAGTGTGAGGCTCACCATGACCAGGAAGAAGTTCTCGAGTACGATTGGCTGCCTAACATAATAGGGTATTCTTAAAAGCTCGGGACCAAGTTCAACTTGCATATTCCTTTCGCCACACTGCGCACGCCCTCAGGTCCAATCTCCAGCTTCTCATCGGGCAAGCTCTTAACCGGGTGACCCCAAACTCTGACGCCAGTCTTATCCTTCCTGAAGTTATGCTGGAAGTATCTGGAGAGCTCGACTGCCTGGGCTCCGCGAGGTAGCATCTCGGCGTAGAATGCGGTGAGAGCACGGTGGAGGGCGGCGTCGTCGGGCGACTCGAGCTCGGTAAGCAGCTTGCCCAAGTGGAGCGCGTCGCGCATCGCGTGTATGCCCCCTTCGGCTTTGTATGGCATCATGAGGTGGACGGCGTCGCCAAGGAGGGTCGCTCGCCCGAGCGGGAGTTCATCCAGGTGACAGTCTGTTGGTACCCAGCCAATATCGCGAATACCCTCGGTGGTCGTCTCGTCAATAATGCGTCTGAACTTGGGGTCCAGATGCGCAGTCATTTTCTTGGCAATCACGAGTCTCTCTTCTCTCGGAAGGGTGTTTACAGCGATGCGGCCAGTTTGTTGAGCGAGCGGGTCATGCCACGAGAGCACCCAGAAGAACTCGCCGGATTGGCCGTCGGGTGCTATCTTGGTGAGACCCATGTAGAGGTTATTCCACCCATCTCCTGTTGTAACTGGTATGATAGCCATGCTGTGAGCGATTTCCAGTTGGCGTACAAAGGCCTCGCCACTTAGAGTGGTCTCTCCAGTTATCGAGCTAATGGGAACATTTCTAAGCACCTCCTTATTCGGCTTGCCCAGGACATGCTCCCTCACTATTTACGTGTTAGTTGCTTGTCTTAACAGGAGATTAGGGGTTTTTACCGATACTGTTTGCACCGTCAGCACCGACGACGAGATCGCCCGTTGCGGTGGTGCCGTTCTGGAAGGTGACCACCATCTTGTCGCCCACCCTTTCAATCTTGTTCGCAACTCTGCCGTACTGGACGTTGATGTTTGTCGACAGCCATTTCCGCAGTAATAGACGGTTGCATCGCAGCGTGGGGGTGGACGGGGAACATTCCGCGCCCAGGCGGTCATTATGAAAGTAGAAAACGACCTGGGTTTCTAGGTCGAGAGGGTTGAGATGATGGACGGTATCTCGGAAGTTGGGCATATCCTCCGGGAAAGCCTTGAATAACTCGTCTAGAACACTGGGTATTGGAAAAGGGGGTCTTAGATTCCGATACACAACTGCGGAAGCTGGATAGTTGACGCTCACCTGTGCATGGTCAGCGACCACCCCTGGGCTCTGGCAACTTCGTGCTCATCTCGCTCGAAGATCTCGAATGGGACTCCATTCTTGCGGAATACTTGGGCGAGAGTCAAGCCGCCAAGGCCAGCGCCGACGATTAGAACTTTTGGTTTATACCCGGCTTCAGCCATATTCGGTGCGATTACTTCTTTCATCCTACACCTATCAATGAATAGCACTTGATGAGTTACGAAGAATGTGCCATTTCAACTTGCGTGAGCCCTCAGGGCTTACCATCTTCTTATTGTAATGTATGCACTCCCCATCTTCACTGGAGTATGCGCGGCAGCAGAACGTTCAACCAATCAGGCAACAGAGTGGCGCTACGTTTGCTCTCTCTCCTTTTCAGCCAGCGCTCGGCGACGGAGTATCTCCCCGCCCCCTGCACCACCATCAGTTCACGCGTGTCATCTTTCTGTTGCACATAAGATGGGCGAGATTGGGTTCGGTCTCTATCAGATTAGTATTATTATATTAGTAGTTTGAGAGCGCGTAAGGATAGCGCTACACCCGGCAATCCCTTCTCCGGCGTTAGGTAAGACGGATTAATGTCCATCTCATACCCTCAACCCTATCAGTTACTCCGTAGCGTATTTGATTCGCTCATGACGAATGTCTTCGCTGTAACGCTGCCGTGCTGGGTTCTGTTCTGCAATAGAGGTAGGTCGAACATTCTCATCATACCTACCTCATGTAACCAAGAAGCAATGCCACGTAACCTTATACGCACCTGGATCTGGCAATCTGTTACAAGATATAAGGTTTGCACTTAGGCAGGTGACAACAACCTGAGAAACTCTGGTGATGACACCACCTGGAACTTCCGCACTCTAAAAGATGATGCTAGGTCGCACACATTCAGAGCAGGTTTCATCAAACCGGCGTTTGTCAAAGTGCCTTATTTTCAGCTTATGTTGCCATGCCCCACCTAAAAATCCAAGGCGCAGGTTTTAGCGCAGCGCGATCTACAGGCCCAATGCCCCTATGCGGTTTAACGTACGATGCATCCTGCAAGTACGTGTGTATGAGTATTTGATAGCCTGCATTAGTTGTGTCACTGTCAGATAATAGGATTTTCCTTAAGAGATCTCTATGACACATCAACTGGAGATTAACCTTTAAGAGCAAGTAGGGCACGTGCGTGTCCCAGGGCAGTCACGCTGTCTCAGGTCAGACCGGAATAAAGATTGATCACTCAAAGTTGGACCACAAGACTCATAAGATCTGGAAGGTATAGGAAGGTGCCGGGGCCCGTAATTCCCCTTTCCACCCATTATATAGGTATACTACCTAAGGTACCTAGGCTAACTCTCAGCTCTCCTTAATCACGACTGCTGATACACCGAGAATAAGCGCAGTTATGATCCAAAAATTCCAAAATAGCAATGAAAAGTCGATCAACTGCATTGACCACTAAAACTCCCTCAAGATTTCGTAGGGCTGACGACGTACCCAAATCCATGGAATAATATTCCGTAGTGACGGGTCGATCGCGTTTGCTCACTTGTCCGCACCGTCATAGGTTCTACTGTTCCTAAGTGCCTGCATGTCCGTGAACGCCAAGAGAAGTCCCTGATGTGGGACTCAGATCCCGCATGCCCGTTCTGTGCTGAAATCGCTACTTTTCTCTGTCGCTAGGATGGGTCCTGCGACGGGATCTCAGGTCCTAGCTCAAATTTCACGGACAAAAAGTAGAGAGAACGAAGTATTCGTCTCCCGATTCCTCGCTAGCAACTCGACGAAGAACCGTACTACACCGCTCACCAGCCAGATTGCCGAGTAGCCACTGCAGCCGAGAGCAGATCTCGTTTGCAATAACCGTAGTTTCAGAATCATAAATGCATATAATGGGGATTGTATGAGTTGCAGTGCAGAGCGCATACAGCTCAGTAACGGAGTGAACTTCTCCAGACCCTGATTCGACCCACTTCGTCAAATGGACCCCGAATTAGATTAAAGTATACTAAATAAAGATATATCGAGGATACCAAAGAGCTTGGAACCTTCGAGGATTTCAAAGTATCCGAGGTAAAATGGGACGATGAAGTTACGCACAGAAAGGCACTCGGCCGAATGTGAAAGGTTGCTTGAGAAAATCAGTATGCGGAGGTTGATGTGGTTTTGGCGTAACACGATAAGATTTATAAGACGTAGTTCGCCATTCTTGGATCGAATTGGAGGAAAGTTAGATTGGATGGGATGACAGAACGGCATTACACCTTTATACCCATTTTCGCCCCCCAAGAGCCTCTAATATCGAACGTTTCCAAGCCAGATACGAATCATTCGTGTATAAACTTCGTCAAGCCTCCTCGTCGTCTTCGTAAGAGATGTACGATCTCTCGAAAATCCTTAACCAATAATCCAATGACTTGTCGATAAACTCATCTAGGCTCCATGGCTTATCCATCACATACTTCTCGTCGCCACTCCAGACATGGAGATCCGCTTCAACGATCTCCTCTGTAGCATCCCCATGGCCATCGATGAGCATGACGGCGACGGGTTTCATTGTTGACGTGTCCCCCAGGAAACGCTCCAGCTTCCTGCGCTGGGCGGCCGTGTCGAGAATAAGCAGGTAGCCAACCACCCATGTTCGTGGGTTATGCTTTATGACTGCTGGGTAGCTGCAATGTAACAGCGTAAAAGGCGCATACCCGTATATCTTTGCTGGTCTCGCGAGAGCTGATACCGCGTCAACATTTGATGAATCTTTCGTCAAGACCCATGCGAGAAGAGGCAGGGCACATAAGGGACCGCAAACGAATAGCGGTTTTGGTTTTGGCGCGGGAGTCATCGGTGGCTCAGGGGTTGGTTTCGAGTGTGCGAATCCCATTGTTACGGGTTTGCAAGAGTGTATGTGCGTCGATGGTACTATCAAGCAGGGAGGGATGAGCAAAAATCGTCTGGCAGACGCTTAATAAGGAGGCGTTCTCATTCCTTCAGAATCTGGAAGCTAGTCGAGGACAAGAGCCCAGATATAGACTATGATTTTCTTTGATAAAAGGTGCATTAAATGGAAAGGAGATAAGGTTTCAGGCTAGATCGAACAGACACGCAATGCCTTGCTTGGACGGACGTTCTCAGATATCAGGCTAGGTAATCAGGAGCGAAACACCGCTGGGTCATACGAATTGACAGCTGAGTGAGATTTAGTCTTGGGAAGGTTTGGCTCCTTGATGCTTAAGAAAGTCATTGAATACCTTATACATCTAATGCAAGGCACACGAAGTAAACCGCTCCTAGTCTTTTCATATTAGTGCATGTCTCGCAGTTAAACTGTTTGCAATGTAAAAACAGGGGCAAAACAATTCCGAATCGGGGAATCGAACCCCGGGCCCAAGAATGAGAATCTTGGATGTTAGCCACTACACCAATTCGGACATGACTAATTCGATCACAATATACCCTATCAGCTCGGCAAACTCCCTGCTTGCTTCAAGCGGAAGGGGCGAACACGTTTGCTGCCCCTGAACCCCTCTTTAGTCAAGGCACCTACCCGGTCTACATAAGACTCTTATCTTGTACATACAAGCAGACACGGCTAGGCCACTATGCTCATGACTCCCATTCGGGTTTGGAAACAGGCACCTAATTCAGTATTTCATGTAAGCTGTAACACTATATCCCTAGGTATCTAACAATTCTTGTGATAGGCACTTCCATCTCCTGGTATGAATTGTCAGGAGCCATGTGTCAGAGATCAGGAAGCGCCTAGGAGTTCAATTCTGAGTTAGCGGGATAGTAAAGGGGGCTATCACGCATATGTACGGAGCTCTCTGGATAGAGGTCCATAACTTCTTGCCCCCTATTCTAGGTCGGCCACGTGACATGAATGACGTCTTGGGCTTCTCTTAAACGAGAGCATATACACTTACACGTCTGTCAGATAGAGCTAGTGTGATAGACAAGACGTCAAAACTACCTAATGAGTTCTATCAGATAGACATTTAGTTCCACAGAAAAACAGAGCACATCGAGGATCCGTCGTGCCCATTAGTTATGTCTTAGACTTTGAATTTTCCATATTCCATGACTCAGGAGGTCCATTTGAATATGGCAATTAAAGAGCTTTCAAATTTAGTCTCTCTTCATTATAGCTTCCTGCTCATGGAGAATCTAGTTTCCTCATTAATATGCAGGGTTACATATATAACGGCTTCCCAAACTAAAGCATAGCATCACTTATGGCAGTTCACGATCTCTAAGTTCCCGTACTCTAGCTAAGAATCTAGGTAGAGACTCAGGGCATAGACCACCTCAATCCAGACGTCCAGTTTTTCATGGAATAAGAGGTACCTACTAGATATTTAGTGAAATGACAAGATGCTGGAGCACTTTGGTTAGTGTATACCTTGGGCACTCAAGTTTCTGGGCCAATTAAGCCTCAAGGTATGTGAGCACTTACCTCTTTCGTTTGGAAACAGTATGAGGAAAGAACCGGAGAGGTGCATCTGCCGCGTAAATGTGCAGGCGTACGGTTTGTTATGTGCGTTAAGAGGAAGGAGCACAGTACGTTGAGTTCGAATTTGAGTCTAGGAAAGCGCTACAAACGTTCGCACACGACCACTTGGTACATGTGCCTGAGGATCAAACCAGTTCAACCAATAAGAAAAATTGTACAATACGTACTTATATACCTCGCCGCGCACCTGAGTCAGCAGTGATGTGTGTTTTGGGTGCGGCTCTGCATTGGCCAGACCTGCGCTGATGCACCGGTCACTTGGACGATTCTGCCTCAGTCGGCCGCCAGCCAGCAAATACTATATAAACACACGCTCTGCTCGCCCTTCCAAATATTTTCCCCTTCTCCATTCAACAACAAACCCAAACAACCTGACCACCATCGACTCCGGACATGGTCTTGACTCTCAACTTGCCAAACAGACTCGGTGGCCTTCCATCTCTATTACACTTGACGATACTGTCTACCAGTTGCAACTTGTCACTCACTCTTCATCGCATTGTGTCACTGTCGTCGCCAACCATGGCCAACCTTCACATCAATCGCCTTCATCATGTTGACTCCGACCAACATCGTCACCCACCACTGACATATATCGCACCAACACACCAACATAACAACATAACAACATAACAACATAACAACATAACAACATAACAACATAACAACATAACAACATAACAACATAACAACATAACAACATAACAAAAGTATAAGTTATACATCCATAGCTACACTTTATCATCGCGCTAGATTTTATCTTTCTTAAGTAACATTTATCCTTTCGCCTCGTTTAGATCATCGCAAGACCAACTATTGCCTACACGGGCTTCCAGTTATTACCTTACTACGATTCCCTACTTATAAACTAAGTTCCTTATTACCTAGCAACAGACATGAAGCGGGAGTAATCAACTCCTACAAACAAGAACAGCGACAACAAAACAGAAACAACTAGACTGGTAACCTAGGTCTCATCTAAAATCAACAAACCTCAATTAACTCACATACGCTTCTGCTCCAGTCACCATCCCTATTAACTCCAACGCCACTTGTCACTGAGACAGCAGCCCTACTACTTCACTTAACAACCGCAGTCTTCGCTCTCATACATCCCGGTACGGTGAAGCCGCCCTGGGGGAAGTGACCGCGGAGGGGGCTGGTCTCAGTCGAAGATCAAGTTACTCTTACATCACCATGCTCAGAGCATTGGAAGATATGACATCTCCATATTCTATACTCTATAACAATACCAGGATTAAAACGTTAGAACGCAGACACGCCTCCGGCAAAGGCCTTATTGCCTGCCAGTCCCCTGTTCCTCCTGCCCTATCCGCCAAACCCATAAAAATAAAATATAAACTAGAACAGGGAAGAGATAAGGAGAAACATAAAGGAAAAAGAACTAAAGAGCACAAAGAAGATCGGTTGGTGCAACTATTACTTCTATACTCGAGAAGCTAAACCTCCCACCTACGCAGATCATTACATGCACTAACTCCTTCTCACTCTATAAATGCCTAACCGCTAGTCAAACTTGGCATAACTTTATATATCTACCTAATATATATATATCTATTAAATTTCTCAAAAAAGGGCTCGATGATTGATATCATATCGCTCCGCCAGTCATACGAGCGAGGAGAAGTTGCCGAAATAAGATGGATCCATGGTGAGGACAACCCGGCAGACGCCATAAAGCCAACGCCAACAAAGCACTCAAAACGCTCGCTGACACGAACAGTCTCACTATGAGACTATAAGGTTAGGCGAAGCGGACTTAAAGCATCTGAACCCAAGGAAGCAGATAGCGGAAATACGCAGCTTCCCGAAACGAAAAGAAAAGCAGTCAGAAGGGACTACGACGAAACAAATCCAGCAACGAAGGCGATCGACAGGCCATCTTCACCGAAAACCTCGCAACACCGCAGGAGATCAATGCAAAAGGGACGACAAAACTCTACGAGTCCTACCTCCGACCATTATGAGCCCAACACATTAGTTCCTTCACGGGGCTGAAATACAGAAGCAGCCATGAGCATGATAGAGTCAACACTTCTCGCCTCATACTAACCAGCTACCGCCGCGACAAGCCCTGTCGCACTGATCCTTGCGGCAGAGGATCTCCTCAAGAAGCCTGAGCACCGACAAGTCTCAATACTCTTCTTGTTGGTAAGTCATGTCATTCACTATCCCTTGTTTTTCCATACTAGCCGTCCTAACAATGATACCAGCTCGGCCCGAACTCAAGTTTTCAAACCACACCGTCGCTCCTTAAACCCACACATAGCTTAACCACCGAGGAGCGCAAGAGAACCCGTTTCGGTGGCTACAATGCTCCCGTCCCTGTCCCCACTCAAGTTTTCAGCCCACACCGTCGCTTCTCAGATCCATAATAGCTTAAGCACCAAGGAGCGCAAGAGAACCCGATTCGGTGGATACATTGCTCCCGTACCTACCTCCCGGCATGCAGGTACCGGGTTACCACGACTCTTCTATCCAAGATGGAGAAAGGAGAGTAGAAAGGTGTGTAGTAGTACTTTTACCTCGTGCACTTACTAAACTGTTCAAGAAAGGGGTTCGTGCTGACGGCTTCAGAAGACGAACTCATCGCGACAGCCGACCTGGAGTAGAGGACAGTTCCAGGGAACTCGCTTTTAAGAAGGAACGTTGAAATACCATTTGAACAGGTAAATACGGGGACCGGTCGTTATCCCTTAAAGCATCCACCGCTAACTAAATAGAGTAGGACAAGGAACAGAAGGAATCAGCCATAGGAAAAGGGGTCTGGATGTGTCGGACAAGGTGTCAGGCAACCCAATGCGCCAGCTCTGTTGACTCCATCGTCAATTCAATAAAGTCAACCACACCTTCCAAGGTTCCAAGCTTCTAATTCAGTTTCGTAACCTGGGCTACTAGGTAGTAGACCCTTGTCTACCGACATCACTGAATCTGAAGTTTTTGCTTAATTTCCTGAGGATGCTGTGACATTGTACCTGGATATTCCATCTCATAATATAACTCTCACTGCATCGAAAACCTCTCCTTGACTGGGCTTTCGACTACCTAGCAGCTTACCTTAAGTACTTAACGTTATGACTCTGTACCTACCTGGTAGGCACTTCTAATATGATTCAAACCTGGAAGCCGGTGATTAACCATGTTAACAACTGGAGCCTACAGATGTCTCGGCTCACTGCTTACCCTATGCGCGACATGCGTAATCACGTATTCAAGACAAGATTCAGAAGACGACTGGCAGTTATGAGGTACGTATGTTTCGACTTAAAACCGTATCTTGGACTTAATGCCCATGTGTTTTATGTACATATATTGAGAAGCCTTCGATATTTAACCTTTTCCTATATGTACATGCTGAGATGGTTGGGTATGTTCCTTGCAACTGATATTCTCCGTGGTGGCCTATACTACCGCCCGGATATCCTTGTTCATAAATATTTATATAGGTAGATATAACCCAGAGAAGATATGGTACAGTTACTGCCAGGTGGCAGCTTGGTTGGGGTCTTGTAGTGGCGTCTGGTTCGCGTAGGCGCTCATTTGAGGCGGCTGGGCGACCCCCATGAACCCGCCGTATTCCTGCATCAGGTAGTTCCAATCCATCTCTCCGCCGAAATTGACGTCTGGGAACGCGGCAGCGAATTGCCTGTTCATGTCAATTTGTGGCACGCCGCCGGCAAACATATCGCTGTCCGGATACAGGGGGACGGTAGGAGGTACGCTTTGTTGCGATTCTGGTGGTGTCTGAGACGACGCGACGTAGGCGCCGCTTATAACGGGAATCTTGGGTGACGGTGTTGGGACTGGCGTCCTCTTCTTGGTGGTCTTTGGTAACCGCGCCGCAATCTGCTTCATGTGGGTAATGAGTCGGGGAGGCACCACGGTACGTCCGAGTGC